TTCATTGAAGGTTTTATCATCAATGAAGCATTTCAAGTTGCAGCGATGATTGAGAAGTTGCCTCCTTTGTGGAAAGACTTCAAAAATTACTTGAAACACAAACACAAGGAGATGTCGCTTGAATATCTCATTGTTCGGTTGAGGATCGAAGAGGACAACAAAGCTGCTTAAAATAAAGGTCATGGAAACTCAACAATAATGGGAGCAAACATTTTTGAGGATGTTCCACAAAATAATAGCAAGAGGAGGAATCCTTCTAGACCAAAAAGTAACCCAAGCAAGAAGCGGTTCAAAGGAAATTGCTACAACTGTGGGAAAGCGGGACACAAATCTGCAAATTATCGTGCTCCAAGGAAAGACAGAAAGAAGGGTCAAGAAAACATGGTTGAAATGCACAAGGATATTGATGACTTGTGTGCTATACTTTTTGAATGCAACCTGGTGGGAAATCCTAAGGAATGGTGGATTGATTCTGGAGCCACTCGCCATGTTTGTGCTGTTAGAGAAGTGTTTTCTACTTATGCTCCCGTTGGACCCGAAGAGACGCTTTCTATTGAAAATTCTGCAACGGCCAAGATTGAAGGATATGGCAAGATATATCTAAAATGACTTCTGGCAAGGTGGTGACTCTGAACAACGCCCTTCATGTTCCTGAAATTAGGAAGAACTTAGTCTCTACTTCATTTCTCATCAAAAACGGGTTTAAGTGCGTTTTTATATCTGATAAGGTTGTAATAAGTAAGAATGAGATGTTTGTAGGAAAAGGTTACCTCACTGAGGGCCTTTTCAAACTGAATGTAATGGTCGTTGAGAACAATAAAATTTCAACTTCTTCTAACTTACTTGAGTCAAATGATTTATGGCATATATGTTTGGGACATGTTAATTATAAAACCTTGCGAAAAATAATTAATTTGGAAGTATTGCCTAAGTTTGAATGCGACAAATCGAATTGTCAAATATGTGTGGAATCTAAGTATGTTAAACATTCTTATGAGTCGGTTGAAAGGAATTCAAATTCTTTAGACTTAATTCACACAGATATTTGCAACATGAAGTCAATACCATCTCGTGGTGGAAAGAAGTATTTTATAACTTTTATTAACGACAGTACTTGATATTGCTATGTTTACTTACTTAATAGTAAAGATTAAGCAATATATGCATTCAAGCAATACAAAAATGAAGTTGAAACGCAACTTAACAAGAAAATCAAAATGATAAGAAGTGATAGGGGTGGTGAATACGAATCTCCTTTTGAAGAAATATGTTTAGAATATGGAATTATTCATCAAACAATGGCCCCTTACACGCCCCAATCCAATAGGATTGTAGAAAGAAAGAATCGTTCATTAAAGGAGATGATGAATGCATTCTTGATAAGTTCTGGTTTATCACAGAATTTGTGGGGGAAAGCCATTCTTACGGCTAACCAGATACTAAATCGAGTACCCCATAGCAAAACGCAATCCATTCCAAATGAAAAATAGAAAGGAAGGAAGCCCAACTTGAATTATCTTAAAGTGTGGGGGTGTTTGGCAAAAGTGCAAGTTCCTAAACCCAAAAGGGTAAATATAGGACCGAAAACCATTGATTGTGTTTTCATAGGATATGCGACCAATAGTAAAGCATATCAATTTTCTGGTTCATAAATCAGAAAATCCTAACATTCATAATAATACGGTTATAGAATCGGATAATGCTGAGTTCTTCGATAATATATATCCATATAAAAAGGAATGTGAGTCGATTGGTGAATGATCTAAATGACGTCAGGAAGAAACAAAAGAAAGTACGTCTAATCAGGAGGATCCAAGACATACTAAACGTCAAAGAACATGTACTTCATTTGGACTAGATTTTGTGACGTTCTTCTTAGAAAATGAGCCTTGAACATTTAAAGAAGCTATGTCTTCTTCCGAATCATTACTTTGGAAAGAGACAGTCAATAGTGAAATAGAATCCATATTGGACAACCATACATGGGAATTAGTTAATCTTCCTCGTGGAAATAAACCGTTGGGTTCCAAATGGATTTTTAAGAAGAAAATAAAAGATGATGGCACTATTGATAAGTATAAGGCAAGACTTGTGGTCAAAGGGTATATACAACGAGAAGGTCTTGACTATTTTGATACTTACTCTCCAGTTACAAAAATTACGTCCATACGAACATTAGTAGCATTAGTTGCGGTTTATGGTCTTGAAATTCATCAAATGAATGTTAAGACGGCCTTCTTAAAGGGAGATTTGGAGAAAGAAATATACATGTAACAACCTGAAGGGTTTGTGGTTCCAGGTAAAGAAAAGAAGGCATGTAGACTTGTTAAGTCCATTTATGGGCTAAAACAAGTACCCAAACAACGACATGCGAAATTTGACCAAATAATATTGTCAAATGGTTTTAAGATAAATGAATATGATAAATGTGTGTACATTAAAAATGTTTCAAATCACATAGTCATTGTTTGCTTATATGTGGATGATATGCTAATAATGAGTAATGACATTGCCAAAATAAATGCGACTAAGCATATGCTAACTAGCAAGTTTGATATGAAAGACTTGGGAGTTGCTGATTTAATTCTAGGTATTAAGATCCATAAGACTCCTCAAGGTTTGGCATTGTCACAAGCTCATTATATTAAAACAGTACTTGAAAAATTCAAGCACTTAGATTTTAAAGTTGCAAAGACTCCAATTGACGTGAATCTTGCTCTAGCAAAGAACAAAGACCAAAGCATATCACAACTGGATTATGCTCGTGTGTTGGGATGTTTAATGTATATTATGAATCGTACACGACCAGATATAGCTTGTGCTATAAGTAAATTGAGTTGATACACGACTAATCCAGGTCAATCTCATTGGATGGCAATGAAACGAGTTTTGGAATATTTAGAACATACCCAGGATTTTGCTTTGCACTACAGTAAATATCCTGCGGTGATTCAGGAATACGGTGATGCAAATTGGATCACCGGTTCAACTAATTCTAAGTCCACAAGTGGATATGTATTCACTATTGGTGGAGGAGCGATACCTTGGAAGTCTTTCAAACAAACTTGTATTGCCCGCTCTACAATGGAGGCTGAGTTCATAGCCTTAGATAAAGCCGGTGAAGAAGCTGAATGGCTCCAAAATTTCATGGCAGATATTCTATTTTGGCCCAAACCGTTGGCGCCAATATGTATACATTGCGATAGTCCAGCGATAATTGGATGGGCTTGGAGCATTATGTATAACGGTAAATCTCGTCATATACGACGAAGACATAAAACCTCTAGGCAATTACTCTCTAGTGGAATTATCACGATTGACTACGTAAAGTCAAGCGATAATGTGTCGGATCCACTTACGAATGACCTAACTAGAGAGGTAGTTGATAAATCATCGAGAGGAATGGGACTATGGCCGAGGACAAGTCATTGTGGTGGTAACTCTACCTAGAAGACTGGAGATCCCAAGATCTAGGTTCAAGGAGATCAAACAAAGTCATTAATGAAGGTTCAACTTTGTCACTAAAATTTTGGTCCATTCTTGTGATGGGACAATGTTCAGTACCAAGGATAAAGCATTAAAGTTTTTAATGGTTTCTAAATTTGATACGGGGTGTATCAAATAGTGTATCTACGGGATGACATGTTTAGGAATCACCTATGTAAGTGTGAAGTGTTAGCCGCTTCAAGGAGAATTTGTAAGGCCAGTTCTCTACGCACTTATGAAACCAGGCGGTGTTCATGGCTGGAACGAACACAACAATGAGAACCAAAGACGATTAAGGGTTGATTGTGTGACTTATAGTTGTCTAGGTATACACCAAATTTTAACGGTTCAAAGATATCAAATCTACCGATTGACCGAGTATATCCGACATAAGTTCACTACGGAAAGTTCAAAGGGAAACCTACTTATCCAGATGCAATTAATCCTTACTTGCGAATCACACAGTTTTTCATGCATATTTCTGTGATATAGCCATTCCCCATTCATGTGGGGGATTGTTGGGTTTTAAGCTTAGTTTAGCTTAAAAGAGGGTGAATGGAAAATGGAGGAAAAAATAAAATTTTGATTTTCCCTCCTTGACAAAGGGACATTATCCCATATTGGAGGAGGAAAAGACTTTTGATGGGTATATATACAATTGCTCTTCTTCTAGCTCTTAAAGAGTTAAGAAAAAGGCAAGCCTCGCGTCGCCGTCGTCGCTCGTTCGGCTCGGCTTCGGCTTCGGATTTGGTCAAACGATTGATTGATTAATTTTTTGGACCAAATTTATTTGTTAATATTAAGATTAACATAATATTATTTTAATCCAAATTACCTAACGGTAAATTAATTTTCCTCCGCGTTTTGATTTCTCGTTTTATGTTGCCTAAATAGCCATTTATGTAATGACCATTTTACGTGAACAATCATAGCAAACATTCTGTAGAGCTGCACCTCTTCGTTTAAACTCAACATGTTGGTTATAAATAGCAGACCATTCCCTCAGATTTTTCTTACGAAATTTCTGAATTCTCCTCTTCTTTTCTGCATTGTTTTCTTACGAAACAAACAACGTAAGTGTGATTTGCTGCCGCCATTTGTGTTCGTTGAAACACTGGGGTTTGAAGTACTGCTACACCAGTGTGTAATCCGTTCTATCCTGGGAGGAAATAATCTACAACCTCGGGTACTAGGAAGGAATTAAGTTCCTTAAGGAAATACTGTGAATTTAGTGGGCTCAGATTAAATTCTGTTTCTTCTACATTTCTGTTTATACGTTATTTTTTCTTCTCCATAATTATTTTACAAATACAGTATACTAACAAATGCAAATCCACCCGCATCTCGCGGAAGACCCTATTGATACCACTAGATTATGAGCATAATTTGTCACTATTTGCTCCGTAATATATAAAAGTCTAGATTTTGTTTCAGATGATAAATTAATCGATTTAATGTAACTGTTGAATTAAGAGAGAAAAAATAATAATAAATACATAGGCAAAATCACTAGCTTATTTAAGATCATATGCAATAACAGAAACAAGATCGGAAAATTCTTGGACCGTCTGGCTGAGTTGTTTGAGCTGGGCTGGTGGTTCCCCAAAACCTTGGTCACAAGCTCGAGAATCATTGAATGCAGCAGAAGCCAACAAACTTATCTCTCTATAATCATCTGTTCTAAACAAATTACTGCAACTTTCTAGTTTATCACCTGCATCCTTGTAATTGTTCAAGCAATTGGTGAGTTGGGCTTTCAGATTCGGATCTTTGATGGGTTGCTGAAGAAGGGACTTAACTAAATTGTAGGTGGAGGTGGTATTGTCTTGTGCTACAGAAAGAGAAATGGATACAAGGCTGTGAATGTCTCCCTTGTAAACATAAGGGTCATTCTTAAGAACATGGAAACATAGTTGAGGATTTATAGTCTTGGGACAAACATCGTCAAGAATGTCTGCTGCCTTAACATTTCTAATAATTTCAAACAGTAATATTAAAACAACCAAGAAGGAGAGGGAGAGGCACGAAGGGGGAAAAGAGTGTGCCATTTTTAGACTTGTTTCTATTTTCGTAGTCCTTTCTCTACACTGACCACCATGTTTTATAGTTGTAAACTGTACCAAGTATATGAGATTAATGCAATTCATTGCTTTTATCTTGTTACAGTAAAAAAAATATATATATATATTTAAAGCAAGGGAAGTAGTTTAGATATAGACTTAAATACTTGCAATATAAGCACCAATATTTTTTATCTTAATTTAGTCTCTATTTGCTTATTTCTTTAACATATTACCAAATCGGGATTAGTATTTAACAAAAGTAGGAGCTTATTTGTTTCTTCCTATGAAATCTGATTACAAATATCTATATATCTATACAAAGGTGGAACATATAGGAGTGTGCTGGCACATCTCCTCGGCTACCTATGTTATTTATCCCTTTTGTTGATTTTTTGATATTTTACTTCATTTTTCATGGTTAAAAATTAATACATTCAGGAGTTTACAAATATAATTTAATATTTACCTACTGTTACGTTACAACCTTTCATATTCCTTAATTATGAATAAAAACAATACTGGTAAACACATATGCCCTCTACCATTGCAACATTTCAGATTCTTTATTTTATACTCTCTCAGCTTCCCCTCTATATATGCATTCACAAATGACAATCTATTCATGCTCGAAACATACATTAGTCATGAGTAGAGGGCATTAGATCACGTTCACAAGTTTCTGAGGGAGAAGCTTTCATGAAATGATTCGAAGGTTGCTGTCACGATCCAAAATCCATAGGTCGTGATGGCGCTGGACACCACTGTCACGCAAGCTAACAATAATTACTTAATTGGGTTCTCATTTTATTTTTTTTTTAAATCATATTTTTCTTCAATTTAAATAGTAAAGAATGGGAATTTACAGAGTAAATAATAATACTTTTAACAAATTCAATACAGAACAACCCATAATCATCCCAAAACCCGGTATCACAAATGCATGAGCATTAACTAGGAATATAAAATAAAATAAAAAATCTGTCCAGAATACAAATTTGACAGAAAAAATATAAATACTCTGAAGAAGACTCTGCTGGCTGCGGATCGACAAGTGAAATGCAGCTCACCTAGGTCCCCGCATGTATACACGCCTCTGCTCTCACATGGCCTCTAGAAATATATGTATCTGCATAAAAATGTGCAGCAAGTATAGTATGAGTACGTAAGCAACGTATACCCAGTAAGTATCTAGCCTAACCCCAGAGAAGTAGTGACGAAAGGTCGGCATCGACACTCACTAGTGGTCCGACAATATCTGGTACAGTAATGAGGTAGCAAATATGAGGCAGAATAAGTAAGTGAAATAGACAAATATAGATCACGTGGTACAAATCCCCTCTCTTTACGAGGAACTCAAGCTCTTCATTAGAAATTCCCTCCTTAACCGGGGCATATATATAGGTATAGTGAAACTCATCAAGTGGCTACCATAATTCAAATCCGGATTTTACAAATACACTCGTTTCTTGCCAAGTTTTACCCACAATTTCATGGGAATATGATATAGGAAATGCCAAGGCGTACGGCCCGATCCAACATATTAATAAAACTGTGCACTGTCGAGGGTCGAATGGCCCGAACCATATGATAAATCAATTAACTTGCCGAGGCGAACGACCCACTCCCATGAGAGTGTGGTACATAAATCCTGCCANATTAATAAGCGAGAGACTACTCAAATAGTACAGCTATAGCATGATGTGAACCTAAGTCTACCCGAACAACAACATGAATGTAGCTACATACGGGCTCTCGTCACCTTGCACGTACATAGTCCCCACAACAAGTAGCACACATCAAACAAATCACCTAGGGGTAATTTCCCCCTCACAGAGTTAGACAGGAGACTTACCTCGCTCCGAAATTCCATAACCGGCTCCAAAGCCTCTCTAACAGCTCAAACCAATGCCCATCGCTCCAAAACTTTTCAATAAATGTGCAAATCCATAAATATATACTCTAATACTCATTATAATTAAATTTACAATAATTTCCAACTCCGCTCGAAAAGTCGATAAAAATCACCCTCGGGCCCACGTGCCCGGATTCCAAAAAGTTCGAAGATAAACACTACCCATAGCATTACGAGCTCAAATATATAATTTATTCTCAATTTAATGCCCAAATTCGTGGTCAAAATCTAAAAATATAATTTCTAGGTTTTCTACCAAAACCCCCATAATTTCTACTAATTTCCATCCTTAAATCCTTATACAAACCATGTATTTAACTTGCAATGGATGTGAATAACTTACCTTGGCTTAGATGATGAAAACCCCCACTTGAAACTCTCCAAAATCGCCCAACCAAGTAAAAAATGGGAGAAAAATGGGCCAAATCCCGTTTTAAAGGAAACCTCACTGCCCAACTCAAATTCTCACACCTGCGGTCACTTGACCACTTCTGCGGTTCCGCAAGTGCGGCAATTATTCCGCTTCTGCAAAGTTGCCCCCAGCCACTGCTTCCGTTTATGTGCCTTTACTTTCACAGGTGCGCTCTCGCTTCTGCGGCGAGATAATCGCATATGCGGTCTCAGCACTTCCCAACTAAAATCGCACATGCGCCCCTCATGGCCGCTTCTGCGGCTCCGCACCTGCGGCCAAAAAATCGCAGGTGCGGTTACACCAGATACCAGCTGCCTCATCATTCCTTTAGTCCACAAATTGATTCGTTTACCACCCTAAACCACCCCGAGCCCTCCGGACCTTAACCAAATATACCAACACGTCCCAAAATATATTGCGAACTTAGTTGAGACCTCAAATTGAGCCAAACAACATCGAAACTATGAATCACCCTTCAATTCAAATTTAATGAACTTTGAAGTTTCAAACTTCTATAATCGATGCCGAAACCTATCAAATCACGTCCGATTGACCTTAAATTTTGCACACAAGTCATAATTAACATTACGGACCTACTCTAACTTCCGAAATCAGAATTTGACCCCGATATAAAAAAGTCCACTCCCGGTCAAACGTCCCAAAAACCTTCAAATTCCAACTTTCGCCAAATGACCTTTGGACCTCCAAATCCACATCCGGATGCGCTTCTAATATCAGAATCACCATACGGAGATATTCCTAGACTCTAAATCTCAAACGATCATTAATAACATTGAAATGCACTTCAACCCAAATTTAGAAAATTCTTCCAAAATGCCAACTTCCACAATAGGCGCCGAAACATTTCCGGGTCATCCAAAAACTCGATCCAGACATGCGGCCAAATCCAAAATTATCATACGAACCTGTTGGAACCTTTAAATCCCGATTCTGAGGTCGTTTACTCAAAAATCAAATCTTAGTCAATTCTTCCAACTTAAAGCTTCCGAAATTAGAATTTTCTTCCCAAACTAACTTCGAACTTTCCGAAATTCAATTCTGACCATACGTGCAAGTCATAATACCTGAAGTGAAACTACTCAAGGCCTCAAACCACCGAACGATGTGCTAGATCTCAAAATAATTGGTCAGGTCGTTACAGTTGCTCTCCACGTTCCATAACCTCTCCACTGCTCATATAATTCCTTTTCAATCTATAAGTTTTTTTTTCCTTTTCACCATTAGGATTTTATGTTCATACAAATATAGCCTAAATACAAACTTGACCTAATTAGTTGTATCCTCTTCTTTGTTGATAGAAGATGTGATAGAGGTAGTCAGAAAGAAATATTTACAAAAGATGGTGTTTGTTGTTGCTTCACCGAAGCTTAATGCTTGTAAGTTATAAGTTGTCGTGATTCGTTTGAGGAGGAAGAGAAGTTGACGATCGTTTTGCTAAAAACTAATTGACATTATACGCTGGTGTATCTGATTTTCTATTTCGAATAAGAAGGCAGAGAGATAGAGAAGAGATTGGTAGTATTAGCTAAAATTTACAGCTTACAGGCATACGTTTCTCGAGCAGACACTTGGTAGTGATGACAGGGTGGAGATGAGTCAGCACAGAGTTAATACTAGATACAAGCATATAACCGGTATTGTGTAAATTTCGAGGACGTATAGGTCAGAGAAGAGAATTTGTGACTAAGTTATCGGCTGGAGAGAGCAGCATTAAAGGAGCAGCCATTACAGAAAATTATAGCATTTATTCCTAAAGTTATGCAGCCATCAAAGAGGGGATCTTATTCATCTTTAAGAGGGTGCAATTTGTGGGTCTTGTCTCCTTATATTCAAATGTAAATAACAACAATTGTACTCAATATAAGGACAAAAAAATTTAGAACGACAAAGGCTATCATAATTTCTCTCATTTTTATAAGCTTTATAAGATTATTATCAAGTGTTTATAGTTATTCTTGTATTTGGTGGGACTAATCTAAAGTCCAGGCTAGTTCTTTCTTTAATTATCTTTACTTTATTTTTTTTTATATTTTGTTATTTTATTAATCAGATCAATTTAATCTAAGTGTATATAAACCACGTTTATAAATTTAACTGTACATGTTTTACGTGTAATCAGTTTGGCGCCCATCATAGGGAATAGACAATTGTGGTATTATTTTGGTATTCTCATCTTTTACTAGTGTGCTTCAAAGTTTTCCTACTTTTAGCATACTATAGTTGTGGCACACGATGATGTCAACAACTTCCTCAATATTGGTGTGCACAATAACGACGAGCCTAAGGACAATTTATATTAGGGTGACAAAACGGGATGATTCAACGAGTGAAACCCATATTGATGGGATTGAATCAATTCTGAGCCGGGTGGAAAGAAATACTCGACGTGCGAGGAGTCCTACTCCTGATATTTTGGATGACCAAGCCCGTGGCTGATACCGTAAATATTTTGAGAGCACAACAATGGAAAATTATGAACTATCTCTCAAGACAGTACCAGAGAATGATTGAACTTAAAAAAGCGTTATCAATGGATTTAAATAATTCAAATGGTGGAGTTCGAGCCCCTCCTGGCATGCCTATAAATCAAACAGCACCAAGATTCGGTAATGTCGCTTCCAAAGGGGAGTTTAGATCAAACAACAACAAAGCATGCGGTGCAGGTAGTGGATCTGGAAATTAAAAAAATGCATATGATCCTTTCAAAACCGAACTCATGTGATGCATGGGGTAAATAAATGCTCGAAAATAAATGCTCGAATAGATTAGAATGCTCGAGAATTTCACGCTCGGATGGATTAGATCCCGAGGACACCTCCGGTCTTAAAGGGCCCAGACTCGAAGAAGTATATACATTTGTCTCTTAAACCTAGTGCGGCTTTGGAGTTGATCCGAAAGAGATTCAAGATGCCGAATATTTCAAAATACAATGGAACATCATATCCACATGAACACATTATAGCTTATACCATTGCTGTTAAGGGAAATGATTTATATCAACATGAAATTGAATTAGTCTTGACAAAGAAAATCGGCTAAAAAATAACGAAAGGGGCTTTAACATGGTATTCACTTTTATCTTAATACTTAATTGATTCTTTTGAAATGCTTGCAGATTCTATCATCAATGCTCAAGCTAAAGCGAGGAACGTTCTAGCTAGGAAAGCAGCAATTTAATGAATAGGTCAAGGAGACTTAGAGTTTATGTAAGAGTTCGTGATCAGGTTTCAAAAGGAGAGAATGTTGTTGCCGGTTGTACCGGGTGAATGGGCAGCGAAAGTTTACCAAGGGTGTCAATCCTTTAAGCTCTGATACCTCCAGGTAGGGCTGTGCATAATTTGGTAAATACCGAATTACCATACCGAAATCGAAAATTTTGGTATTCGGTATTCGATATTTTGGTATTCGGTATGGTATTTGGTTTAAGTATTAAAAAAATTGGTATTAGGTATGGTATTTGGCATTTTAAAATGAAATACCGAAATACCGACACCGTACCGAAATATATATTATATTACACAATACATATTTTATTAATTATAACATAAATATAAGAAATCTAAAATTTTACTTTCCTTTATTCTCTAAGTTCATCAATTAACTCTAAGCAAGTAATAAGATATTTCTCTATGTTTTCTCTCTCTAGGTTGGTATTTGCGGGTTTTAGAGAAAACTTTTGTCAACAAACATTTTTAGTTTTGTACTAATGAGTACTTTAATTAAGAATATTACTGTATATGACTCTATGCACTAGTTAGTATTCAAACCGAATAAACTGAAGTTACCGAACCGAATAAACCAAAACCGAAAGGAGAAAAACTGAACCATACCGAATTTAATTAGGTACGGTATTGGTATAGCATTTTACGAAACCGAATACCAAAAATACCAAACTGAAATGTCTATATATCGTACCATACCGACCGACGAACACCCCTACCTCTAGGAAGTTGAAGGAGAGTTTGTTGGTATCTAAGGCAACCACATGGGCTGATGTTCATAACCACTATGAATCTAAAATTCTCGTGGATGCCGAAGTGCCAACAAGCGTTGAAGGATTTGAAGAAATACATGTCCATCCTAACTTTAATGTCTAAACCTAAGTATGGGGAGAAATTATTAGAGTATTTGGCGGTGTCAGAAGTTGCGTTAAGTGCAGCTTTTGTCCGGGAAGATGAAGGTAAGCAATACCCTATCTACTATATTAGTAATGTACTGTCATGTGCGAAAATTCGCTATCTGCACATGGAAAAGTTGGCTCAAAAGCTTAGACCCTACTTTTAATGTCACCCTATAGCCATTGTGACAATTGTTTCCCTGAGAAACATCCTTCATATACCCGAGTTATCAGGTCGATTGGCTAAATATACGGTTGAAATTATTGAATTTTATATTTAATATAAATCGTGGAGTGCAATCAAATCAAATGTTTTGGCGGACTTTAGTTCGGGGAAGATGCCTTTAGCTGTAAAAGAAGTAGTTTTGGTATCGGGGACTGCCTCCGGAGTCTAGACTTTGTTTACAAATGGCGTATCCAATGTGAAAGGGTTCGGTCTTGGGATAGTGTTGATTACTCCTTCAGGAGAAATCCTAAGGCAGTTCATACGAACTATTCCTTTAACTAATAATGAAATCAAGTATGAGGCTATAATTACAGGACTCAAATTAGACCTGGCACTAGGCTCCGTGGTGATTGAAGTACAGTCTGATTCCCAGGTAGTGGTCAATCAAATATATAGGATTTTAATGCTAAAAAAGAGCGTATGAAGCACTAATAAATAAATTCCAAGTTTTACTTTCCCGGTTGGGGGGGTTGTTGGTGATTCACACTCCAAGAGAGGAGAACATAGAGGCTGATACACTAGCTAACTTGGGTTCTTGAACAGAGTTGAGAGGAACTGATTCCCGTTTAGTTGTACAGTTATTGCATTCGGTCCTAGATGTGGAAGGTTATTGTGAAGTTAATTTATCAAAGCTAGTCTGGGATTGGAGAAATGAATTTATTGAATTTCTAAGATATGGCAAATTGCATGAGGATTCTAGAGCCTCCTAGGTACTCAAAACAATAGTTGTCTGATATTGTCTTATTGATGAACAACTATACCGAAAATCTTTTCATGGTTCATTGGCTCGATGCTTAGGACCAGTGGAAGGTGATTATGTAATGAGAGTAATCCAT